TGAGGAAGGCTGGTCTGTTTGACATGCAAACAAAAATGCATACACAGCCCTTGATAATTTAGACGCATTTGAAAAAATTGTCTGTCTGCTTGTAAGATTTTATTCTATGGCCTGCCTCAGTCGAGTAAATTATCTTATTTTCTAGCCTAAAATTAGCCTAATTTTTCTCATGTTCATGATTTGTAAGAGACTCTATGGAGCTCACTTGTGAATACTTACGTTGCTTTCATATTCATTAGCTAACGGTAATGGGGAAATTTAAATCTATATTTAGCCAATTAGTATTATGAATCTGTATTGAAACCATTTTCAAAAAATACATTTGATTGTCAGTGTCGAATTACATTTCAATGTTGTTGGCACACTGGAGGGGAAAATTGTTGAGGGTATGTTTATTATGCTATCCGATTTAGAAAGATTATGTCAATATAACGACGATAGAAGTTGTATTTTTATTTTAGACGTGTTAAAACTTAATTTCACACAATTAAATTAAAGTGAAATCATTAAAGATGATTTTATTATGGCTATCGCCAATTACACAGCTATGCACAATTACTCAATAGAAATTGATTCAATCGTCACATATTGATACATTTAGATGAATATTAGTTATTAGTCATGCCTCAGCTCAGTTAATATATCGTAAGTATTTTCAATTAATCTGATGTTATTGTTTTTGCATGGATTATGGCGGCAAAGAGAAAATCGCATTGAATAGCTGCATGAATATGCAAACCTAAAGCAATTATGTTATGCTTAGGGTATTTTTCCTCTTGTTCAGGCTAGGCCTTATCCTCTTTTTTAAGCAAAGTATATAAGACAAGGTATTTATTTAATCATATTTGGCTGAGTATTAGGTGTACCTTCGATATTTAATTGCTTTTGATATTTAACCCAACAGGCAGGTGTGTTTTAGAAGTGCATATTGAAAATAAAAATAGGCTATTCTATTTAATTCACATAAAATTCTAAGTTCGTGCAGAGCGGCTGCACCCTAATGGACAGACCACTTAATCAAAGCCCTAGACGCATAATCGAGTAGAGTATGTAAAATGCCTGATAGTCGGAAAACACGGACACTCTAACCCCTTCCCTTTTATTGTATTCAGGAAAAGTCTGGCTTGGTATCTCGAATCCTCGCAATGCATTGCCATTTCGCCAGTCTCTCTTGTGTTGATGCGAAATTGCGTCTAATCAGTCTTTGGCAGGGTCTTCCTCTACACGGAGTTGCCTTTTTCGAAGCCCGCTTCGAAACCACAGCTCCTGTCGCTTCAGCCATGGCCGCACTCTTGACTACAGCTACAGCGCGCAGCTCTTCAGCTCGGGGTGTTGGCCCATTTGCTACTGGTAAGTAAACGCCCATTTTG